AAGTCTTCACACTCAACGAACAGCAACATTTTCTGTCGATTAGCTCTCGGCACTATGCTCAGACAAAGAAAGGAATTTCGGTGTTGTCATGGATAACACCTCCAGTGGAATGACATACTAGCATACTACCGTTGGACATTCTGTGCCCCGTGATTTGTGCCAACCACTCGCAAGAAGTACATGAGCGCAATCGAGACGTGCGAAAGGGTACACTATGTTTACTGTTGAGAACAGCAGTGGGGCCATAGCTCAGACTCTGCGATTGAGTCAGGAACAAATTCTCATACTCTCGGAAGCTGCACGCGTGCATATATTCGAGGCCGGGGTGTGTTCGATATTGGGTTTGTCGGCCGACGGTTTTGTATTTGATGTAACCAAGAATGGAAAAAAATATCAAGTCTATGATTTTTTGCTGGTTTACCCACCACACATTTCTCCTGGCGTACTTCGTTCAAGACCAGAGCGAGCGGTCGCATGACTTCGTTTTGCTTGGAAGGGGCGATGCTCTCCGGAATAGTACACAATTTGATAAATCATCACATGAAAAGGAAACAACTTCTGGTTATGTCTTGCTTGCGGCGATAGGACCATTGCCCCGTCCGCTTGGAAATGAACGACGTGGTTCCGAGCAACGTCCCAGAGTTTCAACGATGGTCTACTCGGGTATTCGCCCTCCGTTCAAGTAACCCATTGTTTCTGTACCTCCATCCTTCGCCATGGGTTACTATTATTTTGGTTTTTTAGCAGAAACTAGGTCACCGGACCGAACCATTACTTCGTCGCCTCCTTTCTCAATTAGGATTTCATTCAATGAACAGAAGGAGAGCAAGTGTTCGACCTGCGTTGGTTTTCACTGTCTGTCGATGATTCCTTGAACACCCGGTGTACTTTTTCTGCGTCGCGATCTGTTGGTTACGCACGCCATTTTCGACACGACTCGTCATGGATGCTCGTGCGACACGGGCAGTACATTTTTCTTTTTGTTTTCAGTTCCAATGACGAAGATTTTTGCCCCGATAGTTTGTATTGTTCGCAATGTGATCCACACAAGATCTGGTTTAATGAGCGGTTTCATCGAAACTGTAGATTCTCTGCTCCCTCAAAGCTGAGCACGACTAAGCTGTGTACCCAGTTTCTTTCTGTCTTCCTTCGCGTCGCGTGATGTCTGCAAACGTCACAACAGTCGAAACTGTACGACCGTCGTNTTGCCCCGATAGTTTGTACTGTTCGCAATGTGATCCACACAAGATCTGGTTTAATGAGCGGTTTCATCGAAACTGTAGATTCTCTGCTCCCTCAAAGCTGAGCACGACTAAGCTGTGTACCCAGTTTCTTTCTGTCTTCCTTCGCGTCGCGTGATGTCTGCAAACGTCACAACAGTCGAAACTGTACGACCGTCGTGTTCTGCTTACCATTCTGCAAGCGTGCAACCTGAAGCAAACCAAATCGATTATGAGCTGTAGCATTCCACTGCTTTTTGCAATCGTATGATTTTCAACCTATGCACCCGAATACCGAAAGTATATACTCTTGTGCCCAGCTTCTTTGCGACCCATCCTAGAACAAATGTCTTCTATTGTATTGTCCGTGCACAACAATTTGTCCAATTACGTTTTGTGCGACAACTTCGTTTGGAAAAAGAAAATAGAACGTGAAACAACGATAGTCTTGACCGCCTTGTCGAGATACGTCGATAGCTGCAGAGTGTTTTTTTTTGGCGATATGCAACATTTTGGCAACAATCATACGCGGAGCCCCCCCACACGACATACCCCCTATGCATTCACGGAACCCCCTAACCGTGCCCCCGAAGAGCCCTCTTGCCCCTCCACCACCTGCTCTAAATACACCACGACACCCCCTGGTTGCATTTGTACAAATACTATACCACGCTTGCTCGACAACACCCTCGAAGGTCAAGCACGCCATTGTATACACGTGAACGAATCTCCACACTCCGCACAGTAGTCTATACACGTAAAAAAAAAATAGACATCACTACACTATACGATACAGCATGCACTAAACTAAACAAAATCTTGGGAGCAGTCAACCCTTTGTGCGTGCTGAAAAAAAAAAAGAAGATCTGGTTTACGCACGTAAAGACACACACACATCACGACGCAGTGTTGTCGGCCTCCTTCTCTCCTCCCTGCGCTATGGCGCGCTTCCTCTTCCACTTCTTGAATGCCCTTNTCTTGGGAGCAGTCAACCCTTTGTGCGTGCTGAAAAAAAAAAAGAAGATCTGGTTTACGCACGTAAAGACACACACACATCACGACGCAGTGTTGTCGGCCTCCTTCTCTCCTCCCTGCGCTATGGCGCGCTTCCTCTTCCACTTCTTGAATGCCCTTTTCGCCCTCCTCGTG